CTGACGTAGCTCTGAGCCTTCAGAGGTTTCCCCTGACGCAGGTCGTCTGCCACCTGTCTGGGGAGCATACCTGTGAAACAACAGGAAGTGGTCATGAAGTCATTTCAAACATAGACTCTGACTGCCTTTCACTCTGTTGTATGTGTGTGTGTGTGTGTGTGTGTGTGTGTGTGTGAGTGTGTGTGTGTGTGAGTGTGTGTGTGTGTGTGTGTGTGTGTGTGTGTGTGTGTGTGTGTGTGTGTGTGTGTGTGTGTGTGTGTGTGTGTGTGTGTGTGTGTGTGTTACTGTAAAGCAGCCGGTCAGTTTTCTGTTTCTCGTGCGTCAGGTCCTGAGTCCTCTCAGCCACCAGGACCTCCAGGTGCTTGCTGTACTTCTCCATCTGGAAAACAGCCATTATGTAAATAAATAAATAAATGAAGAAAAGATGATCTGTGTTTGTCCCGTGGGAAGAAGAGAGAGCGTGAGCAAAGGACAGGTTCACACCAGGTAACACTAACATATACAAAATGATGTAACTGTTTAGAAACAAGATATCAATAAGGTAGAATAACTAGTGGCTTCAGCTAACAGTTCATTATCACTACATGTGCAGATAGGCCTTCTAGATTAATGTTTATAAAATAGATTAGATAAATGTCACAGTTTCTGTTTCTAAAATGGGGGTCTATATGTTTAAAACGTTTATTTATGTATTGATCACCAGGTTCATCATCATGTCCACCGGGCTGACTTTGATCGGGTTGACCCGGTTGACAAACTTCTTGATCTGCTCGAAGGTCGGGCGGTGAAACGGATTCTGAGAGCGACATCTCCGGATCAACTATGGAAACACGGGAGGGACAGAAAGGACGACAGGACAGGTAAGAGACACCTGTGTTGTGTTTGTTAGGAATGGGGGTTCACCTGTACCTCTCTAATTGAGGTAAAGGTAATTTACCGTTTTTAACATGCTTTCCAATAATACATGTATTTATTTGATTCCGTTTTCATAGATGTTGGGTGTAATTCATTCCTAGTACATGAGGGGCAGTATCTGAAGTGATACTTGTGTTTATGAAATATACAAAAACTATAACCATTGAAGTAAAAGGTCTCCACAATGTCCAAAACATACATTAGATTAAAGTCCAGCTAAAACGTTAGTGAATTATATTATCTATTTTGTAAAGATGTAATGAAAGGACATTATTTACATTTACTAAATGGCTTAGTTGAATACTCGATTCTGATTGGTCAATTCAGAACACGTGACACGTTGTTAATACCGAACAGACAGACCGCTGTCAATGACTTATTGACCGTTGTTAAGGACGCTCACATCTGCACAAACAAGTCCGTTCGATTTAACTGTATACAGTTTGGCCGAAAAGCGAACTGCATGCAGTTTGCTTTTCTAACTGACAAGACAAGAGAGACAAGAAAACAGCGGAGAAGTAACGGGCAAAAACCCTCCTTTTACGCAGCGGTCCAGACACAGACATCAAACGGCGACACATATTCAGTGTGCAGTTACTTTGGTATTAGGGCAGGGATATCTAGATACTTTCCAAGGTCTGACATAATTAATTGTGCTTCTTTTAAAGCAAGCAACGATGTTTTCAAATCTGTAATCAAAAAGCTCCTCAGAAGCGCTATGGAAGCAGTTCCTGCCGTTGCTACGTTAGTTCAAACAGTAACAACGGACTATTTTTCTTAGCGGATGCATGTCAATTTAAATCAATACATACAACTATTTTTAAATCAATAAAATCATTTTCTAAATCCATAAAAGCATTTCAATTAATAGTGGGAGTCATAACGTTACTTTGTTGAGAATGTGGCCGTGTGATGAGCGGGATAATGTGCAGAGACTTGGTCATTATGGGGAAAAGAACACCTTCATGCTGATCTAGATCCCTCCGCTTCGCGTCGCGCTGCTGATCAGCCTGTCGGTGTTCTTTTCCCCATAATGACCGCGTCGCAGCACATTATCCCTTACATAATTCTGCTCGGGGTAAAAACTTCCTGAACAAATCATAACTAGGGGATGCCAACTGCAATACAAAAAATAGAAGTATCAGGAAGTTTTTACCCCGAGCAGAATTATGTAAGGGATAATGTGCTGCGANTACTGGACCGGATAAAGCAGATCAGCCCTGTGATGTCTCACGCTAACATGCAGCGGGACTGCTGAGGGGGCTTATATAACACACACACACAACTATGTAGTCATGTCTACACACACACCATCCATGTATGTATGTACTTGAATAATGTATAAAGCATCCTTCATTTTAATGTGTTGTATCATAAAGTTTGTCTATGTGTGTGTGTGTGTGTGTGTGTGTGTGTGTGTGTGTGTGTTCAGTAGTCCTGGTCCAGGTTAAACAGGAGTGAGTTGTTTTGAGCCTCAGCACTCCTCAGCACCTCTCTTCTCCCTTTCTCCTTTAAAAAAACAGAGACAGAAGAGAAGAGAGTAAAACTGAGGGGCCGGCAAATTTGAACTTGAATCAATGTCAGACTTTCCCCCTGCTTAGCATTTGGTCCAACGTGGAGCCCTGTGTTGCTTTAAGGGCTGTACCTATGTTATTCCTTCATTCTAAACTTGCAACTAAGATAATTGCCTATAATAGTGTGTAATTACATTTTATAAATGTACTTTTTGGTGCTGTTAGATTGCTGCATTTCAGATATTATACGTCTAAACATATTATATGTTTAAATTTGTCTCATTCACAGACTGAACCATCGTCTCTTTGGACTAATCAGACATTTACCATTAGATCACATAAGAAATCCTCATGCCAACGTCTATTTGTATGTCTATGTGCTTGAATTAAAAGCACATGGCTCTTTTATTTCCATTCTTAAGTTGAATGTGGGCCATTTGAGATTTACAATACTTTGATATCCCCACCAATTGATCAAACAAATGAAATAGGTGGAGGTATATGTTATCATACCGTAAATACAGATATTTTAATAGATATAAGTGTCATTTTAAATCTCTGCCACCATCAAACCAAGGTTTTACTCTCAGTTCATATGGGTGGATGAAGCTTTTGTTATAGAGTGTACTGTGTGTGTCAGACTGAGTGTTCAGGTGTGCAGGTGTTCAGGTGTTCAGGTGTTAGTGAGTTTCTACCTGCTGGTACTGTCTGACCGCCTCCTTCTCCTGCTGGATGCGTCTGAGCTCCAGGTCGTCGGGCCGGTACCCCCCCGGCACCACGTATCCCTCAGGGCGGTTGGTGCTGCAGATCTCACAGCCCGGACGCGTGGGTTTGTTGATGTATGTGCAGGACGGACACGCCCAACCCTGAGGGGTGGGATCAATCAATCAACAACGTTATTAATCCCGCAGGGGGCAATTGGTAATGAGAAGCTTTTGTCATGTACACAGGCAGGAAGACACAGGAAGAAAGCACACAGATACACCCAGGAGCCTGGATGTGGATCATTCCAATGTACACGATTAATTGTTCAAAGCATCACAATAAAGAGGTAAATAAATAATCAAGTTAAAAAATGAATTTGGCAACAGATGAAATTCATGTGCAAGAACATGACCTGGAGATGAATTTCACCTGTTGCCATCAGGGCGTAGATATGCTCTACCTGCTCTTAAGAGAAAGAACATGTGAGAAACACAGCTACCTACTTTAAATATGACATATTTGATCAAACATTGAGCATTTCTAAAAGTGTGTAAATAATAAAGTTTGGTTCTTATTAAAGCATGACTGCTCTCTTACCTGTGTGGAGGCTGTGTTGGGGGTCAGAGCTCTGTTGAGTTGAGGCATCTCCATGTTGGCTAGATCTCTGATCTCACGGATGTTCCCTCTCTCAGACCCGCCTGAGACAGAACAAAGCATCTAATAAGCAACCAGGAATGTTTCATATGTGTGTATGGTTGTACTTTAGTGTTGTTGGGTCACGGTAGGGCTTGAGCCAACATCTAGCAGAGCAGTGATCTCTTTACATTCAGTTTTAGTAGAATTGCACTTTCTTTTTATACAACAAGATTAAGCAATGTTATAAGGTCATGCTAGAGAAGCATATGGGTCGTAGCATTGCATTTAAATACCCTGTAGTTTTCAATGTAAAGTTCTTTATTCAACTGTGTTTCAGTGCCGAGGTAATGACTTCTGGTATTGTTGCAGCATCAGATTTTTCTTACAGTATATTATGAAGCGCTTCAGATCCTTTTCCTACCTACTGCTAAAACAGTTAATGATTCAAAGCGTATTGTAGTAAACTAAACACTGAACTAAGAGCTGTAATCTCATGTGTGCCCTTGACATTTAGAAGTATTATACAGGAAATGCAGATACAGGAAAACATTCCTTCCCACTGCAATAACTCTATATAACAAATCACCTCTGGCTGGCAAAATTAGGATCAATCTTATCTCTTATCTCTTATTAAAAAATCTAATCTGATAACCATCACAAACGCCCTCCCTCACCCGTGCTGCTGCTGCTGTGGAGCCTCGCAGGCAGGGTGGTGTACGGCCTCCGGTCCAGAGAGGAGGGGCCGTTAGCAGAGGTAGCGTTCAGCAGGGGGGTGGGGGGAGGCAGAGAGGGAGGGGTGAGGAGAGGCAGAGAAGGAGGGGTGAGGAGCAGAGCACTCTCCTGGTCCTGCTGCAGGGCCTGGAGGGAGAGGCGAGCGTGTCGGGCGGACAGGAGGAACAGGAAGGCCGAGTCGTCGTTCTGACGGACCCCGTACGAGGCCAGGGAGCGCTGGTCGCTGCACAGACACTGACCGATCACCCAGCGCTGCACCCGAGGGTGGAAGCCGTACTCCAGGAACATCTGGGGAGGAAGAACAGTGGGGAAGACATTTTAGCTTTTTTAAAATTAATTTCTGATTCTGTGAAAGCTCGATATGTCATTTTATGCCGTGGTTTCTCATTTAAAACAACGACAAAAGACAGAGTTTGTGTTCTGAATGTCCTCTTCCAACATGATAACAAAGGTATCCCAACTGTAGCTGTGAACATGACAGGATGTGTGATTACCTAGAAGAGCATCAGGACTGTTTGAGGCATATGATAGCTATGTGATTAACATGATGATTCAGCCTCTATGGAGAGAGACATATGACAAGCATGATCATTTCTGACGTGGAGCTAATCTGAAGTAAACATTAGCCGCGTTATGTACTTTTCCCACTTTAGTTCCGATATAGTTCCAAAATGTCGCGTTCACACCAAAAAGAGCCGGAACTAAAATGAGTTCATGAGAACCTTTTTACCCCCTTTTCCGTCCCTGCTAGAGAGCAGGGAGTCTCATGCGGCTCTCTTGTGAGAAAAGAGCTATAT